ACTTATTTCAATACTCAATTTATTTATTATCTCATCATTCATCTATTTTCTTGTTCTCTCTTATAGTCTTCCCCCCATAAATAAGATGATTTTTGAGAAAAAAAACCTACAATGTTTATATATTTATTGTCTTTAACTAATTTTAAGTAATTTTTTATCAACATGATTTGGTAAAATATTTCTTATAAAAAGGAACGGAAGAAATAGTACAGTGGACTATCTTTGTCAATATTTTGATATTTTAATACTCAACGACTCATTTAACAAGGAAATATTAGAAAAATTGAAAGATATTTTGAGCAAAACATTATATTAAGCAAAAAAGAAATGGAGGAAGTATATATATATATCACTTTCATTTTTCATCCTAAAAAATCTAATAAAAACTAAGAAATTTTTGGGTATCATGAAGAATATCAGCTGTGCAAATCAAATTAACTATGGGTAGCCAATATGAAGTTTAAAATTAAGATCATATATTTAAGACCCACTTGGCCACTTGTAACTTTAACTCGTTGTGAACAAAAAAAGAAAAAATCTTTAGCATATATAAGTAATCGTTGGAATGGTGCAATCTGAGTTGGACGCAGGTAGACTTAGAATTTCGATACAGTCAGAAATCAATGTGAAAAGATATTGTTGCTGGCGATTAATTAATTAAATAATAATGAGCTTGAATTTTCAATTGCTTTACAGTACGAGGATATCTGATCAATGTGATTTGCTGTTCAGAGGACATTTGCTGCCCTAGCTGGAAAAGATCTTTGGATTTGCTTCCTTTTTTCTGAGATCCTAAGAAAGAGAGGACTAGTCATCACTTGTTCTTCTTGCTTACTTGAACTTTCCTTTACGCTTCAACTGTTCAAAAGCAGTTTTATGCTTTTATTTTATAGTGCACTCTTAAGCATTATTATTAATATTTTTTCTCGGTTGTCCTTTGACGCTCGTAGCTTCAACGACGAGGATCTCAGCTTTTTATTAGTTGTCCAAAATAAAACGAATATTCTTGTCCTTGCATTTCGTTTGTATATGTCTTTGTGTGTGTTTATACTATGTCCGATTATTAAGTATTTTTCAGGCCGGTGGTAAGTAATTTTGACGTACTCTTAGAAGCATTTTATATAAAAAGTTATTAATTGGCCTTGTAACCTCGCGAAATGCCTATATATATATATATATATATATATATTAACCAGCCTTATATTTGAAACGGAGGGAGTAGATATATATTTATGTATGAATGTATAATTTAGAAGGAGATGAATCGGCGATGGGGTTGAGATTAAAACAATTGAAAGTCTTTACCCACGAGTCAATATATGTATATATATATATATATATATGTAAAACACCGATATGTGAATGCCGCTAATTAACTTTGTTAAGCCTACGTAGCAACAAATTAAAAGAGATTCGGGTATACTACTTTCGGTCCTTCATATAAGACCCAATTAACTTATTTGGGAAGATTAAGAAAGTTAATAAATTATTTTAAAGTATTTCTATTTATCATTTTTTCCAAGCTAATTTATCATTCTTATAAATTGATATATATAATCTGATAATAAGTATTTTTTTTAGAGATTGTGTAACATATACTATAATTAAGTAATTTAATAATTTTCTTAGTTTCTTCAAATTATTCAGCAAATTTTTATATTAAGGATCACAGATCATACATAGAAAAGAAATAACATGTAAAATTATCAATATCACTGCCTATTATAGTGCTTACATCTAGTGCTATTTAGAATACTCGAGAGATTTTTCATACTATAACTAAATTCAATGGCAATTGATGGATGCTATGCTTCAATGTATGTTCTCTTTTGACCCTAATTGTATGAATTAGTTATGAAGTTGATTTTATTCTAAATATAAGATTTTTAATCCATTTATCAGTTCCATTTATCATTTTCCAAACTAATTTATTAAACCTATAAATGATAAATAATCTAATATTCCATAGAAATATTTTAGAAAAATCATGTTATATTTGTTAGAATTAAGTGATTTATTTATATTTTATTAGTCTATCCAAATTAATTAAATAGTTTTATATTAAGGAAGTAAGGAGTAAATTGTAATCTAAAACTTATGACATAGGCTCCAATTAGCTTAAGGGCTTTTCACAAGCGAACAAGCATCTTAATCAAAATAAGATAATTAATATGATGACACTTAGTTGACAAAAAGCTCTTGTAGTGAGATTGGAACCCTTCAGAAGGACTTAAAAAATGCTTTCACATGAGCTGAGAAAAAATTTCTCTTATATACTTATCATAAACTCTGTAAAATCACTTTTAAAAAGCTAATCCAAACATTCATAAAGTTTAGTCAGGCACAAAGACTCTAATCTTTTCGATCAGTTGGTATGCTTCAAAATAAAATTAAGAATATATCATGCTCGATCAGAGCCAATGGATAATTTTTTTTTTTAACTGATTGAGACAATACTTGAATATCATTGGGCAGCATAGTATATAAATACTTTATGTTTTTCTTAAAAAAATAAGTTTCTTGGTCACAGTATAGTAAATATATATGGTTGTGATTTGTGAACCGTTCATTATTTTGCAGACTTTCTTTTTGTCATTTTAATACTAAGAAATGATGAATACCCGCTGAGGATGAAATTCGCAACTAATTAGGAATAAAGAGATGTATTTGAAATATTCCATCCAATTAATTACAAAATGAAACTAGTTATACGGAAAGAGGGTCAAAGAAAAATACAGTAATGCACGCACACAAGGTAGGCAAATTGGGGACCAACATTTGAACATCACTTCATAAATGTGCATTCCAGTTGGATTATGATCTTGTAATTAAATAAACCACAAGAGGATAAAATGGGTAGGCTGGTAATGGTAAAAGAATGATTTGATCTAAGAATATAAAGGACATTTTTATCCACATACAAAATCTTTTTTTTAAATTCTTGACCTAACAGATTTCATTCTACATACTCCTCCTCCAGTTTTTAATGTAAGATCTAATTAATTAATTTGAGTATATTAATAATATTAGTTAAATTAGTCAATATGATATATTTTTTCTAAAATATGCTAAGCATCTTTCTTAATTTCTTTTCTCCTTCTCATACTTGATTATTGTTAATGGAATGTCAATAGGGTCAATTTGAAAAAATTGATAAACTTGTAAATAGGTCTACATATAAGATAATATTAACTCCCCAATTAGATTTTACATTAAGGACTGGAGGAGTAATAAACAAGCCCTTAATATTAGATTTTATTAATTTGATGTTTGTTCGCTTCTATCTCACCAAGTGAAGCCTAATTTGTTTGATTTGAAGGTAAAGATAAAGCAATGCAAAGGAAAGGGGAAGAAAAGAGACATGTTTGGTATAATTGGAAAAGCATCCTGTACATCATTTGATGGAAACATTTTGACCCAATATTTTTCCCTAGCAAAACACACACACACACACAAACACACACAAGTACTGTTTTTCATGGGAATAAACAAACGAAACCAAAATATCCCATTATTAATTGCGAGAACTACAATGAGATCCCCATGAAGGAAAATGATTATAAAATAAGTCCCAAAAAATTGTCATTTCTTACTGTGGAATTTATTATTACAAGCTGCTTAGGTTATTATTGAGACTTTTTATTAATTTTTTTTCTTGGGACCTTATTGTAATTTTGGCTTATTAATTTTCCATATACTTATTTAAATTTTTTATGTGTTACTTTCTAAAGTGAGAATATTTGGTCATCTCAATTCTATCATTATGCCAATGCATATAATAGAATTTATAACAAATAACGTTCTTTGTTAGTTTTGATAGTACAACTTATTTATCAAATTTTGTACAATACATGAAAAATGTGCTTCTATCAAAATGCAAGCATATAAATCTAAGAGGAAAGGATCCTGAATATTCCAGCATAATCCAGTACCCATATCCAATGGGATAGCTATTGCGCTTGGGTTCGTGCATTGTTGTGTTTCAGTGTCCCCAGAGTTTTAGATAATCATATAATCGATCAATTATTGATACATTCTTTTCACTCAAAAAAAATTGTCAACATATTATATAAAGATAAAATAATTTATTATTTCGTATAAAAATATTTAATGAAGTGATATTTTTCTTTAAAAAAAAAAATAAGTGAACACTACATGTTATTCTTTATAACATAGACATAAATATTTTCGTTTGATATTCGAACATTTACCGTGATTCTGATAGTTACATTATGGCTTTTGCATGCGGATATAATATTCTTGAATTTAATGGGTTGAATTGAAAGTTGTCATAATTAGTTTTCTGTTAGTGCCTTAGTCGGTATATGTTTGTTTGGGATGTGTGTATATATAGAGGACAAAACTCAAATCAAATTACTTATGTTTATTTATTCAAGTTTTTCAATCTTATTTTTTACTGTTCGTTATCGAAGTGCGTATATAAATTTCTAAATTTACTTATATGAACTAGACCTCATAGATATAAGTAACTTGCTTACTTTTTGTTTTTCTTCCTCCTTTCTACAGCTAGTTATAGGATAATTGAGGCTTATTGGGCCGACTACTGGGCCGACACAAAGTGTAGCTTTTCCACCCCCTTCAAATATCAAGCAAAAAAGGTTTCCGAATAAATTCTCCTGTTGAAGTATGATGGGTTCGGAATATCAAATATTGTAAGCCAAAAATATAAATCTCTTTTACATATGTAGCTCCTTTTTATATATATAGTGACAATGAAGACCGAACACAACAACTTTAGCAGAATAGCAGAAAGGGTCATTTTCTCACAATGTGACAAATCAAAGTTTGAATCTTTACTGAAAGAACTATCTTTATTTAGGGTTCAACAGTATTTCGAATAGGATCTTCCAATAAAAGAATACCTATATGTAGCCCAAAAAAAAAAACACGAAGAAGCTGGGATTACTCACACAAGATATTATTCTTGGCTCTATATAATTATGCTTCTCAACGAACCATTTGCTAAATAAATGCATTAATTAATCTTTTGAGAAAAGATTTTTAACCACAGAGATGCCGCCATCAATCACCAAGTTGTGCCCATTGATATAAAGAGATTCATCAGAAGCAAGAAACAAAACCGCCTCTGCAATATGCTTCGCCTTCAACACAACCCCTTTAAGATTAGCCTTCGAAGACATAGCTTCTTCAACTTCGTGAGGCTTCACATTAAACAGCGAACAGACCAGCGGGGTCGCTACGCCTGCCGGCGACGCGCAGTTCCCTCGAATCCCATGCGCACCGAGTTCGCCGCACACTGACTTTACCAGTCCAAGGAGAGCATGCTTGGATGTCGTGTAAGGATGAGGACCAGATCCTCCAATGGAAGCAGCCAAGCTCGTAGTGCATATGATTGATCCTCGTATGTTGTTTTGGACCATAGTACAAACAGCGTGCTTGATCGTTGCGGCCATGCCTCGGACGTTAACAGCCATGGTGGCGTCGAATTCGTGGAGGTCGAGGTCGAGGATGCCGGAGAAGGCACCTAGTATGTCTAGGGTTCCATGTTTGTGGAGAGTGAAGTTCAGTGTTTCTTCAACCTGGGATTCGTCTGTTACGTCACAGTGATGGTAAGTGATTGAGTTTGAGGGTATGGAAGCAGCGAGTTGATGGCCGAGTTGGTCTTGAATATCAGCTGCTACAACGAAGGCTCGATGTTCTGCGAATAGTCTCACTGTTGCTTCGCCTATTCCACTTGCTGCTCCTGTCACAAGAGCCACTTTGCCCTCTAGCCTGCACAATCTCAAAGAAAGACCAGATTGAAATCACAAATCCGTCAGATTCTTACGTCTTTTATGATGGGGCATTAATTAAATTTTGCATTAATTACAACGTGATTTTAGACTTTAAATCATGGCTATCATTGGGGATTTAGGGCCTTTAAATATGTTTCCCTCTGATGTTCTCTAATGTGCTTCGTAATATTCCAAGTTTCTAATTTTCTTTTTATTTTTTTCTGATCATTAGATTTTATATAAAATGAATGCATTTTGATATTTTATGGATATGAAATGTTGTAAATTTGATTCTTTTTTTTTATAACAATTCTTCAAAAAAAATTAAAACTGCACAATTTTAGAATTTTTTTTCTTTGAAATTTTTTTAACAATTTCAATACTACACAATTTTGTGCTCATAAGATATCAAATTGATGCTACTCATTTGATATAAAATCTAATGACCAGGAGAAAAAGACGGGGAAAAAAAAAAGAAATTTGGGAAGTTGAGAAATTAATTACAAAGAATGATGGAGGAGTCACATTTTCAGCCCCTAACTGTTTTCCAAATGATCACTAAGGTGATGAAATCCTAACTGATTTTGATACATACACACACACAGAAGAAGAAGATCGAAAATGTAATTAAATGAAAGGATTTACCTCCCCTTTGGCATCAGCAGGGCGGTGTCTGCGTTTCCTTTAGTGGTCATCATGAGGTTTCAAATGAATTAACCTGCAAATAAAGCTCTTGGATATGGCGTTTATGTTGGTTGGTTCTCCAAATTATGAGAGGATATAAGCTAATGTTTATATTGTCGAAAGGATGCTTCTGAGGACTGCCCCTTTGGCCTTTTCTCTCCAAAAGCTTAGTGCCATTACCAATATATTAATCAAAGGCTCGATGATTCCCAAGAAAATCAACTAATTCTCCCTAATGGAGAAAGTTTTTCTTGTTCACATTTATGGGTTATTGTCTGTCCTTCATTTATTATTATTATTATTGTAACATCTCGAATTTTCTGACTCAGAATGAGCAGAAATTAAAATTATTTAATGGCTCAATCACAATTGGGAAAAATTATGAAATATTGATTTTTAAGGTTTAGAAATATTTTGGAAAAGTTCATTCCCCAAAAAGTGGCTTAAATGATTTTAAAGCTATTTTCATAGCAAAATGGGTTATTTTCTTAGAAAATAATTAGAGGTCTCTAATTAACTAGAAAATTTTAGGGAAATTATCTTATGAGGTAAAGAAGTTATTTGAGGCATAAAATCCTTAAAATGGGTTAAGGATTAATTTCTGGAATTAAGAGTTATTTTCTTGAAAAACTCAAGAAAAATAGTTATGAGTTAATTTTTGACCCAAAATTTTTAGAGAAATTAGTTTATGGGACAAAGAAGCTAATGGAAAGAAAGATCCATATAAAACATGGTGGAATAATTTCTGGATTTATCTCATTATTTCAGAATTATAGTGGAAGGATGAAATTGAAAGAAAATAGAGGGTAAGGGTAAAATGGGCATTTCATTTCTACCCACCCACCTCACACGCATGCCACTTCCTTTATATCATCAGATCATTCTCACCATCTTCATTTCATTTCCGCGACCGTAGAGAGAGCACGAGAGAAGCAAAGCTCGGCGGAACTGGAGGAGTGACCGGAGGGGGTATCCATTGCATGCAAGATTGGATCCTAAACAAGGTGAGCTTCACGAGTTTATTGCTGTCTTCATTTTCTGGTTTTGGTTCACATTACCGGCGAAGTCGAGGGGAGAGAGAGAGATGAGCTTAGAGAGAGAAAATGAACCAGTGAAGAGATGGATTGATGGATTCGAATTCTATGGGTAGATTGAAGTGTATGATACTTGTTTTTGAGCTTGCATGTCCATTTCTTTGCCTCTGCGTTACTGTCTGAACAGAGTGTGTGGGGGTATATGCTCCATGGTTCATAAGCTTCGAGTTTATAGAGCTAAGTTGAAGGCTGAAACTGATATAAGTAGATAGACGTGCATAACTCTCTTCCCCTGTTCTGGTTCGACCGAAACAGGGATTAAAATGAGCCTCTGGTTGGTGTTGAAACTTAGAGATGGAAGAAAGTAATAACACGGTATTTATGCATGTGCATTTGCTGGTTGTATGCGAAGTTGCTGCTATGTTTCGAAAATGATGATTGAAAAACAGAATTTAAGTTGAAAGTTGATGCTGGGAAAATTCCAAAACGGTGACGGAATGGGGTTGTTGTTTTCTGAGAGCGTGTCTGATAGGGTAATCTATGGGGGACTAGAACCGTGAAATACTCCTCCGATCCTTAATATAAAACCCATTTAACTAATTTGATTAGATTAAGAAAGTTAGGTAAGTTAGTTAATTATAAGAAAATTGACACATTTTTCCTAAAACACTATAATCATCTTTCTTAATACCCTCTCTCTCTTTTACTTAATTATGGTTGAAAAAGTATCTATAGGGGTAATTTAGATAAAATTGATAAATATGAGAAATGGATCTTATATTTAGGACCAAAATCAACTCAAGAATTAGGTCCTATATTAAGGACCGGAGGAGTATATAAATATATATGTGATGCTTGTGTCTGAATGCTTACCGTTTGATATTGCTCTATGATGATCGAACAAGAGTTTAAGTTTCTGAATGCATAGGTGTTGGGAATGATAAGTAAAAATAAGTTTAAAATATCTAGATGCAACACAGTAGGTGTTTGTTTGTGGAAGTAATGGTTAAACTTAAACTTCCTGTTTTGTTGAGTCTAAAGTCGGGTTTTTAATGGATTGTTAAGTTGGAATTTGGTACCATGGGTTGTGAACAGGCTTGAGCCAGGGGTTTTGAATGGAGATATTGCAGAAAGATTTTGGGGAAGGATTAACAGAATAGTAAGGAATAGATCAATCGTAATAGAAAGAAAACAATAGGAAATTTTAAAGCTTAAATGATTGAACTTAGGAATTAATTTGGTGGCTGTTTTGAGGATGAAGGGAATTAAGCTAGGAATTGATTTGAAATTCATTGTTGGGGTTTGTTTGAGGTTTCCAAATAGTGAATGGACATTGTAAATGGACTAATGTTTATGATGTTTAGAAATTATTTTAAGGTATGGGTTAACAAGTGACAATCAATAGAAGTTATTGGAAAGGTGGTTGGAGGAATGTTAGATCAAAGATTTAAGAAGATCAATAGATGGTTAGAAATTGAAATCTCTTAGCTTGGAATTGAATGATAAGTATTAAGTTAATTGTGAATAAAAACTAAGAGAGCTTATGGAATTATTGATAAATCATATTCTTTCATATGTTTGGAATGTATATTTTAGACTATTTTAAGAAATAGATTGAGCATTAATTGCACTAATAAATAAATAAAATGCTGATGCACTTGAGCAAAAGAATTAAGCCATTGTGATATTTTAATAGCTTTATGAAATTCCACAGTTGGATATTACTTCTGGGTTATTGTTCTGAATTCAGGGGCAGAATGGTAAAAATAAAGTGGCAGAAACACATTTCTAGTGAGGAAGGAAAAGGGAGTCCAGAGGAAAAGCAATTCCATCACTAATAGAAACTAATTTCTATCACCAGTGGAAAAGAGTTTCCACGCAAACTTACACTTAGTTCTGAAAACTCCAATTACTGACAGGGGGGTTCAGAAATTCAGGGGGAGTGAAGCGATTAGTTACAGCAACAAGATTAATAATGGCATAGGAGGAGGAAGTGGGAAAAAAAAGAAAACGATTTCATTTTTTCCTAACGACCTGATTGTGTGGATTGGTGGAGAGACAAGAGAGACACCTTCGTTCATGGGTTCTGATTCATCTCTGTCTTCTCAGAATGCCGACTCGGGGACTAGTGGTTATTGCCGAATCTGATATTTTCATGGCAGAGCTACAATCTAAGTTTGAAGGAGGCGAAGTCACCGTCATGTGTAGCTAATTCTGTAGATTCTTCCAAGAGCAGAACCGAGTCCGAGCTACTGGATTGTCGAGGGAGTTAACATTCATCTATCTTCTTCAATTACTATGCTAGTTGTAGAGTAATTAGAACAGAGTTCGGTTGTCCTTTGTTCAGAAATTGAATTGAATGTTGTGTAACCGAATGCTGTAGAGAACTTGGTAATTCATTCTTGAGTTAGATGTTAATGAGATCCTTAATTCGATTCGGTGGAATTGGATATTGTGGTTTGATTAATTGATTCGTTCGAATAGAAGTTCTGTTCAGTTAAGAATGTTTAGTTCTCTTTCAGCACACTCAGTAACATTTAGCTCTAGATTAGAGTAAGGCGATGAAGATGAAGTGAAGCTCTTGGGAGAATTGATACTCTGATTGTTTTTCTTAAGTTCCAAAGTACTGTTTGCATTTTCATTCATTCTCATTTTGGTACTGCACCTGAAAATCAATAAAGATCTTTCTGTATTGATCTGAATGTTGTTCTTTTTCTATATTTTCTACAAGTAAATTGTGTCAATTTTACTTAGAAATTCAGAGAGTTATTAGACCAAGTGATTCGACACTTAGGTTGCATCAATGTACTGCATACCCTTTCTTTATTGTTTTTGATTGCCTATACGACTAAGGATAAATCAATTATTTTGGAAAAAAAATGAAGTTAAATGAGGATTAAAGTAATACATATAAATATGTGTGTGTGTGTATATCTTTACTTTTTCCATGATACCAACCACTTAATAGTGGAACTGAATTTGGAATTGGAGACACGGAGTTAGCCTTAAATGCAATAATTAAAGATAATATATTTGACCAAGATGACCAGTTACTAAGTAAAGCAACTATATGGGTTGAAATAAGGAAGGAAGCATTCCAAAGAGAATAGTTTGAATAAGAAAAATTGTACAGGATAATTAACTATTATGTAAGGGTAGAGATTAAAGAAGATTTGGAATTTAAAGAGAGTTATTTAATTTATGAATTACAGTTAGATCAAGTGTTAGTCTACCCTTACCAATATGATAGGTTTATATATCTGCTCAAGCCCACCAAGAAGCAGAAAGAAAGGAGAACGGTAAGGTTTGATTTGGAGGGAAGCGGCCTAGGTAGTAGTTCTTTCCTACCTTACATTTAGGTATGATTGCTGCATGTCTGTTTGTGCCATATTGCTATTCAAAAAGCATGAGAACATGTAATCCTTAATTCCTTGCATGAGTTAATAGCCGTGATCATGTGCAGCTGAAAGATATGGGGACTTATGAGCCATTATTTGCGCAGCCTTATGTGCCATTACAAGCGCTGCCTTATAAGCCATTATTTATGCGGCCTTACGAGCCATTGTATGTCCGGCCTTATGTGTCGTTGATTGCGCATTCAACTAATCAATCTGACTATGTGTCATTGCACTTAAATGCTTTTTATGCATAGCTGACAAGGTTATGTTCCGTATGGCTTGTTTTGTATGCTTTATGTGATCTGCATATGTGTTTAATGGAAACTACTACTACAGGGATTCTTTAGAATCTCACCCTCCCATTTGTGATGAACAGCGAAGGCTAGTAACTCGAAGGATAAGGAGGATGTTTTAGAAGAAGGTGAGCTGATTGAAGAGCAGAGATGCCTGCTATATTCTGTACTTATGAAGTAGAATATTTTGATAAGTTAATATTTGTATTATTGTATATGTTATATGGGCAAGTAACTTTACTTGCTTTAT